CTCTCTCTCTCTCTCTCTCTCTCTCTCTCTCTCTCTCTCTCTCTCACACACACACACAAAGGAAATACAAAAGAAAAAAAAAAAAAAGGACAGAAGAGCGTAAAGAAAAGGGATAGGAGTGATAATTTGTCTCGTAACCGTAATAATAATAATAATAATAAAACATTTACAGAGACGTTGGTACAGCCCACGCCCTCGCTGAATGGATAACATGGGTTCCACGAGAACTGAGAACCGGGTTCAGTCCCTTGGACATCTTTGAATCTGGAAATAAACCATGCTCATTTTAATGATTCCAATTTCGTATTGAGAAAAAAATAAAGATGTTTTTACACATATTTCTATTATTTGACACAAAGACGGTTGATCCACTAGAAGAACTGCAGTGTAGAGGTTCGTTCAGCGTCACCAACGTCAAAACAGGTAGAATACCGTAGAAACTTATTGGGAAAAACGTTCCTCATTTTGGCAGGGAAATGCCATAAAACTGGTAGAAACCGTATACCTAAAGAAACAACCCTTTATTTGGCGGGAGAGTTCCATTAAACAATTTTTTCCTGGGGTAAACGACGATATTCCCACACTTCCACAATTTTTCCGCACTTTCAAATGGTTAATGAACCGGTTCCGACACTCAAAGTTACTTTTTTATTGCGGATTTTTTAAATCTCAAATGAAGAGTTCTTATCACTTAAAACTTTTAAAACACGCCTTCATATTTACAACTACCGTATTACATGTACATGAATATAATGTGTTACTAAACTTACCGAGGTGTATTGTTCTTATTAGCCAGCGGTGTAAGATCGATAATATCACCGTTAATTTCACAACTACATGCCGTCTTCTTGATACAGTCTATGTTCAGAATCCCTCCCACCGCCGCCACCAGTGTCAAAACTGCCATCAACCGTATACTTAAGCTTTTATAAAACATCTTCATGTTTAAAACTGAGGACGGTTCCTTGAGTGTCTAATATCGTGTTAAATGTACTTAGTTAAATGTATCTAATGGGATCGGTGTGGAAACACTGTTTGACTGAGAACGCCCTCTATTATCAGTAAGGAGTGCCGGCTGTAAGATTGCAATACGCCTCCCGTGTTGCAAAGTTCATTATTATAAGTCTTTTAAGTTGAAATAAGTCAGATGAGGTTAATGAAAAGGATGGCACAAACTTTGAAGTGGACCACGAAAATATTTTTGCCGGTTCAGACAAAAGTAATACAAAAATAAAAGAAGTGAGAGAAGAGCGATGTAGTTGTAAAGGAGTGGCAAGGATGATCGTTGACAGTTATTTGGTAGTAACAGGCTTAGCTCAAATAGGTCAAGGGGTGCATTCCCAGAGATTTAGATCGATCCAGAGATTTAGATTTAGATCGACCTAACTCCCTGGGGGAGTCAGCCGAGCACGCACCATAGTTAACTACCCCCTTGCAGCTTTTAGTAGGCGGGACAGACGCTTAAGCCGGCTAAGCTGACAGTAATCTAGTGAGACTCCCCACAGGGATAGATAGATCTAAAATCTATGGGAATGGGGTCAAAGTGTACGTTAGGTGATATTCAGGATGGTCTTGGCAGGCACTGTGTCAATAAACAGAGACAATATTAACGTTATAGTTCGCCATACACGTGACAATTATCAGTGTATCGTATCGACCTTTTGTGTTGGCACACATAATCATTCACTGCATAGACTTAATAGAAATAAGCAGTTTACACTTTGTATTCATGTAGGGCTACAGACCGGACAAATTCACAGCCTGTTAATTTTGAATAATATTAATACATGGCATAAATAAGAAAAAAAATCAGTTTTAAATACGAAATAATTGCATTTCTGCATTACGAGTACAAAAATGACAACAAGAAATTATTAGATTTTTAAACAATCGCTTTATTCCTGGTTTACTGTGAACACGACTGTGAAAAATAAATTTTAAAAAACCCTTCACTCCAGGACAACTACAGAAATAGGGATGAGACTGCCATTTATTGAAAAAGGTCAGGAAAAATGACATGAGGTCCAGGTGGCCGCCTAGGCCAATGATATTTTTGGCTCCAAAAAAGTCGAAAATCCGATTAAAGTGTGAAAACTCTCATCCCTCTGTACAATACATCTAATCACATCTGGTATTGATGTAAATTATCCATTGTTGAAACTAGGGAGGCAGTGTAGGTACTATTTGAACCCATTTGACACTAGTCCATAATATCCATTTATTCTCCAACAGAGACCCAACTGAGTGGTGATGCCCTTTCCGTGTAATAAATAAATAAATAAATAAATAAATAAATAACAGTGGACAGAGCAGAAATGTACCCAGAATAAACCAAAAAGTTCTCCGTGTCACTTAAAATACCTAAATAGTCTGCTAGAAACCGTAGTCCTTTAAAAACGATTTCTATTACTTTGTAAAGGTGACAATTGTCAGGGATAATTTCATTAATTACGACGTATATAATAATATACAGTATTTATAATAAACACTCATAAAAATTAAAAAACAATCACATACAATCACTATCAAACGTGTATAAACAAGTATGATATTAATAATACAACACCTCCCTTCCATTAAAATGCGGTTTTGACTCAGTCTTTCCAATGGAGAAAAAGATTATTTAAAGCAATGTTCTTATCACTAGAACACAGTAAGCAACAAAACTGAAAAGCAAGCTAACAAACAGTTCCATTCTATACAATAAAGGCACCACAAGCTCTAAATAAAATGTATAAGGATTCTAAAATAATGTATCTGAAAAATCAAAAATCTTCCCATCATTGAAAAGATGGAGTCATTACTTTACTTGCTAACCAGATGTTATGAAGGCCACTTTGCCAGTAAAGCCCAATCCAAATTACAACAAATTACCAATAATCCCAAATGCCATTGAACTTTTTAAAGCCTTATTTTCATTTTGAAATAACCCCAAGAAGCACGCAGTTCTGGGTCACTTTGAAAAGCTTGCATTTCTTTCACTTTCCTGTTCAGATTTTTTTCTTTTCAAATCCTATTCAATTTTTGCTGTGATAAAGGAATCTTTGTGAATCACAAACGGATCTCCACCCTGTTGTTTTTCCAATCATGTCCAGTGATCTCACAGAAACTGTGGTAGAAATAGTTCATTTGCAAAATGTCAAAAGAAGAAATATAAATCAATCACTAGTTTGACTGTGCAGTAGTTAAAAACAGAGACTAGCATAAACAGTGCTACAAGACATCTTAAAAAAATCTTATATTTCAGATTTTCCCAAAGTGTTAGTCCTTCGCAGCCTAGAAACCACTATTGGCGAGGAATGATCTGTGGCATTGCGCTGGGCTGGGGCAACTGTCTTCTGAAATGATTTCTGAAAACAAACAAACAAACAAATAAATAAATAAATAAATAAATAAATAATTACTTATCCTGAAACTTTATCAAATTTATGAAGCACTTTAGACATAGCTTCCCAATAAAAAAAAAACTGCAAAACTGCACAAAATAAATGAACAAACAAAAAATAAACAAAGCTGCTGAAAATATACTGTTCTTTATTGACAGAGGTATCATATAAAATCAAAGAGGCAGGTGTATAAGGAAATACTGACCTGGGTCAGAATGGGCCTGGCTTGTTTCTGGTCAGCAGAACTGGGGCTATGGACGACAGGACTGACCACAAGGTCCTCCAGCCACTGGACCCTGCTGGACTCACGGACTGATAAGAAAAACATGGTGTGTCATAGACAGGAGTATTGATAAATTAATATGTAAAAAATAATGTCGCTCCATCATGGAGCTGAAAAGCATACAAGTGTTAAATGAGAATATCAGAATCTAAATTAAAATGTTTTAAATTGACAGAAGTGAAAAAAATCAGTTGTTCCATCTTAGCACATCAAAATCTGTGACTGGCCTGTTATCCAAACTTGACTTTTAAATATACCTATTTTTTTTCTAATCCGAAAATCACAAATAAACAAATAGCAATTAATTGAAGTTTCATGAAAAAAAAAATTGTAAAATTTGAATCAATAAATTGTATAAGGAAGAACTTTTTTTTCTGCAGAACACAATTCACAGTACAATCAGTAATCAAACACAGCCAGTACCAGGATAGTGTTTCACCACAGTCTTGGTCCTCTGCTTGCCCACCACCTGAGAGATCTGCTGGCTGTTGCACAGTGTGTGTAGTTTGGTCACTGCATCAATCTCACGCTCTGTCTAAATGAGCAAAAATTAATACACAAATCATATTGTAACAGATAATGATCCGATTGAATAAATGAAAGAAGAAATAAGAAGAAATAAGAAGACAATCATATTGGTATTCATTTCAAAGTGTTAAAATTATTTTAAATGTTAATTTATAGTTATTATAAACAGTACATAAAATTTAGAATGTTTGAACTTGATAAAATTGACTATACATAATATAATCATTTTATTACTATGAACAACATTACATCATTATCAAAATCAGATGAATAAAATCAGTTTGCTCTTTCAATTAAAACGTCAATTATATTGCAGACTTTTAAAGAGGCCATGTGGGCCATTACATTCTTTCCTAAAAGGGCCAGTGGGCCTGAAATTTATAGGCACAAACAGGGGCACCTAGTGGACAGTGGCGGTACTTACCAATGCCAGGGCTGGCATCCCAACACAGGCAGCTCTTGGCAAGACAGTTGTCTGGTGCTGGGTACTGTTGGCTTTGACTTTAGGCAAGGGAGACTGAAAAAGAAAAATACCAGAAACTTGCACAGCTGACTTGATTTCTCTAGTTGATACAGTTACGACATAAGGCAAAACTCTTTCTTACACAAATTCCTTTCTTCTACTTCCTCTTCAGTTACATTCCCCACCACCTTCTCCATACCTATCCTTCTCTTTCTAACTAAGGCCTCTTAATCCAAACCTCATTTTTCTTCTACCTGAGACAGAATGACGCATGCCATACTTCCCCTCTCTCTCTCTCTCTCTCTCTCTCTCTCTCCATACCTTTGGGTACACTTTCTTCTGTTCCCCCTGGGCCAGCTTCCTCTCTAGTCTCTCCTTCTCCTCCCTCAGCTGCTGCAGCTTGGCCTTCTTCTCCTCCAGAGTGGTCCCCCATAGCCGCCCACACTGGGGGGACAGCAAGGTCCCTATAGGAGAGGCTGAATAACAATTATAATGATAATAATAATTATAATAATTAAATAATAATAGAAGTTATAATAACAATAACAATAACAATAAACAAATTCACAGAAAGCACACAGTGGTGAAGATATTTGCCAAGGCAGTTCAATTCTCATTATTTCATTATTTGCCACTAAAATCTGTTTATTTCTATCTCAGCCCCCTCCTGATATATGTCAACTAATGTCAATAGTTATAAATAAAAATGATAATAACATAAGTTCCCAGATTGAACTTTTTTTTTCCACATTAGGCACTATAAACTCACCAACTTGGCACGATTGGCTCAAAGATGGACTTAAAGCCTCCGTCTTTAATTTATCACCTTTCTCTGTTGTTACATTCTCCTCCACACTGCTGCAGCTTCCACTGCTGAACAGTCCACTGTCCAGTGCTGCCCTGTCAGCGGTCACTTCACTGGATGCCTGGGACGAGGTCTGAGACACCAGACTGTCCATCTCAAAGCTACTCTGTGAACTGTCCGACTTTTGTATCTGATCATTCTGATCTTTTCTACCATCGAGACTGTCAATGCTTAGATTTCTTTCTCTATTTAGTGGCTCAGCTTCTTGGTGATTTTCCAGGCTGTCCCTCAGTTCCTCACCGACTTGGCTTGAACAATCTTGTGGCTCCCCCTTTTGGTGAAGGTCAAGTCCACACCTGGCGTTGCTGCTGTCTTGGGCAGATGTGGTATGTGTCTCCCCTTGGTGGCCACTCTCCAAACTATCTGTGCTGTTATGTTGTGACACTTGCCCGTCACTGTTGAGACTGTCAAAGCTCATTCTCCCGCCTGTCCTACACTGACATTGCTCACGACAATGACAATGACAGTCAGTGTCTATTGACCCACATCCTGCATTTGTCGATCCATCAGATTTCTCATTTCTAGCAGAGGCTTTATAATGACTGTTCCTTGAGCTAGTGTCAGAAACTCCATTCAACATGGAAGGTGGGGTCTGTGTCACTTCATCCACAGTCAGACCGCACCGCTTGACCACACCACTGGTCACTGTGTTGGTTGGAGCAGATACATACTGGGCTGATGTCTGACTGGAGTATCTTGGTGACGGAGCCCCCTGGTGGGGGTTGAAGACAGTGGTGACGTCCTGTGTCTTGTATGGTGACAGAGTGGTGAAGTAACCCGGCTGTGCTGGCTGCACTGCTGTGAAAGGTGAACTGCTCAAGTCTGGGAAGTAAAACAAAACATGTTACTGGGCTTAAGAGACATACGTTTTTTTCTGCATCCAGTAGACTGAAGGAATTATTAATGGATGTTATTTCTCACATTATCTATATTAAAAAAAATTATAAATTAAAAGGCTACTGTCAAAAAATAGTCATAGCAAAAGGTTAATTCTATCAATTAAAGTAGACATTATGAAATTGGTAAAAACAGCTTATGAAATGAAAATAAATACAATCAACAGTAATAATAATTAATAATTCACATATTTTCATGTGACCCCTAAATAAAGTTACAGTACATATTTACCAGTGACAGCAGGGAAGTATTTCCCATGTCTGGTCAGTGGTGACTTGACTGCTGGTCTCAGCACTCTGGAGGTAGTTGGAGTGCCCACTGGCGTGAACGCACTCCCGTCTGCCGAGAACAACACCTTGGTTGGCGTGGAAACCTGAAGACTGGGAAAACTGTGGAGTAAGTCGGACATCAGCGGTTTCCATACATGAGGATCTAGGTGCTCTTTTCCTGGGATATCATCTCCCATTTTCTCACTATTTTCACTGGCAAATACACCATCATGTTGCAGGGTGTCTTGAATAACCTCCTGCTCCAACATAGAATGGAATTTTTTCGAAGGAGTTCCATTTTCATTGATGGTGCCTTTCAGACATTTTTCTTGTTCGTTATTTTTATTCATTATATTTTCATCACAACTCTTCATGCGTTTTAAATCCTCTGAGATCAACTTATCACTTTTTAAATCACTTTCTAAAGATGTGGACTCCATCTTTGCCACCCCTGACACCTCTATTGTATCCTCTCTAATTGTGGTGGGACTAGAATTATTCATGACATCTGGTTCTCTTATGGGTTCTCTAAAATCACTCTCCGCAGCACCATCTAAAGAAAGCTTTGGGAAGGAATCAGAACAACCAGATAATTGGCTGTCTGTGTATATTTGGGCCTCGTTGAGTGGGTCGTTAGAAGAAGCTACACTGGCAACACTAGGTCTAGCTGATGACACCATGGAATTTGGAGGAATTTCTCCAGAGGAGAACAAACTACTGGTTGGCCTGGAATAGAGATGACCCTGGTCCAGTTCACAATCGTCTGTGGCTTCACTGGCACAATCCGATGTGACACTGATACTGCTGGGTCTATGTGCCTGTTGCTGGTCACAATCTTCTCTAACACAATTGTCCTCACTTCTAGTACCACTTTTACCAGCACAACTCAGTCTATCTGTTGAGCTTAAAGCACTCTCTGGTCTAGATTCAGGTAAATCCAGACTACTAGCACTGTTCATGATTCTAGCATGGTCAAACAGGCTGCTGTTTGAGGTACGACTGGCAACACTGCAGCGACTGTGAACGCCAATGTTTTCGTTATCATCGGGGCCTGGAATCTCATCCTCCTTAGGATTGCTTTTACAGACCCCTCCCACTCTGTTTTTGGCTTCGTCTCCTGGGTCTTCCAACTTGAGGTGTCTCCTGAATCCTGGTATGTACACCATGGTTCGTCTTTTGTGAGACAGTTTATCTGCCTTGCTCTTTTCCTTCAGTGACATGTCCCCAAAGAAAACCTCTTGTTCGTCGTCACATTGGTCTCCACCACAGAACTGCAGGGGTGGGTCTGATTCTTTTCTAGATAAAAGTCAAAAGTGTCAGTACAAAGGACCTTCTGTTATATTAATATATTGCTTCATATTAAAAATTGCATTTTGTCATAAATATAATTACTCATAAAAATTTCTCAATCAGCAACAAACAAGTTTGAACTGTTACTAAATATTACAAAATTTCATTCACAGTAAACCTTATATCAATGAGGGTTAACTATATGAAATAAATCTATGACTAAATTGAAAAACTTGGACAAAAGTTGAGTGGTTGCCATGAATTGGTCATTTTTAAGATACTAGTAGTTGCTCCGTTTTTTCTTGTTTCTCTCAGTTTAAGACAATTTAATTTAATCTAATGAAAATCTTTTCATACTGCGCACATGTAACAGCACATACTATACCTTTCTGCTTTCTTGTCTGCTTGCAAGTTCTGCATCTGCTTAAGCGGAGAACGCTGGGTGATATTTTTCTCAGCAAGCGCACCAACGGCAGGACTGGGCAAGACGATTTTGGCTTTTGCTGGGCTCTGCTTCGAGCCATCAGTCTCCATAGACCTCCGAGCTCTCCCAGGGACGATTTGACGAGACTGTTTCTTGCTCTTACTTTCCTGTTTGTTCTCCATGTCAGTCAGTGTTGCAAACTAAATCAAACCCGCTGTATCTCTCGTCAGCGGATACCTGAATAAGTTTCGATCATAGATAGCACTTTCAAAACAACCGGCACATATCCCACAATGCAGCGGCTCTCGTAATAACGCGCTTAATCTCGCAGAACATAATGGGACCCGAAAGGAGAGCTTAGTTAAAATATAAAAATAATAAGCAAGGTTGGCAGAAATCAAACATAAAAATGAAACACAATAATAAGAAACTTGATTCTGATTTTATTTAAACCGTTTGTAATTAAGAAAAAGTGTATTAAAACCCAAATTTTGTTCTCGTTTTTTTCATTTCACTTACTATTTATAACCTAATTATTGGACCTGAACACAAAAACAAACAGACTGGTTTTGTATGAACGTGCAAGCAACCTGTACTAGTACAACACCACTTTGGGGTTTGCGAAATGGTAAAATGGATCGTGATAATCTACATCAAAAAGGGAAAGTTGCTTAATTATTTTTAAAATTATAAAATGGTGTTAAGTTTTTAAAAAATTAAATTTAGAAGAACGGCAGTGACTATAATAATTATAGTTACTGGTAACTTAATTACTGGTAATTATATATAGTTAATGGTAGATCGAGTATCTTTAACAAAACACTGAAATAAATAAAGTTATGATTAATTGAATGAATAAATGAAGTGAATAATTGATACTTTTGTAAAAATTATAATTTAAAAATAAATGATATACTTTCTGTTCATGCAGCTAATGCATGAAGGTAAACCCAGTATATAAAAATAAATCAATAATTGCATATATGGTTTATGATTTTTATCTCAATTTCAAATAATATTATTACATCACAAATTAAGAACAATTACGCACTAGCTGGTATTTAAACTGTCAAAATGATTCAGAGAATGCAATTAATGGTACCCCGGTACCCTGAAGTAAAACATGTACAGCCATTTTAAAATTTTTATTTATACATACAAATTTACATAGATATAGATATATTAATTTCTTAAGAACCACAAAAATATAATTGATATTTTTCAAATATATTAACTTCTTTAAAACTGTGTGTCACATGCAGAAAGCTAAAATAATTCCTTTGATATTATTAATGTAATTAAGCCACTCTCTTATAGATTACTATAATACCAGTACCTCAAACAGGCATACCATGTACTAGTATATTCGTAATTATAACCATTATAAAAAGCTTAATTTCTGCCCAGCCGTATAGGGGCAGTCCCTCCCCTCAGGCTTTTCTGTTTTCTCAGTTTATAGAAAGTTATCTTACAGTATGTAATTTCTATCAATCAGAAGTAGTTGCACAATGTAGGACAGTACTACATGAAGAAGCAACGGAATAAATGAACAAGCCAGTTTCAGAAAACAGAAAAAAAAATATTCAAAAATGTGTATAAGCAGAATAGTGATTTCGTGAATATCACCAAAAATATGGTCCAATGATTTTAATATATGCTTATTAAGCTATGGTAATACATTTTTGTATTTTCTGCAGCTGCAGCCATGACTTTTGTAATGGACACACCCCGAAATCCCTCTTAGATCTACAATTGCTTGTAAAATTAAGAAACCTTTTTCCTCTTTGTTTTTTGTTTACCCCACTTTGCACAAGGGCATATAAATCAAAAGTGTTTTGATACTTTACTGACTTTTGAATTTATTTATTTATTTTTGAATTTATGCAGTGGCAGATCCAGAGATATTTTCTGACAGTCCTCCAAATCATCTTTGTTGATCCATCCTCCATTTTCGAGCATCTTGCGAGAGAAAAAATTAGATGTCCGTCAATGTAAACATGAAAAATTCTAACCATTTTCCATAAGACCCAGAAGATGCATGGCCTTCATCTGCTCCTGAATTGTATCTTAAGATTTTTTTTCTATGAGTAATGAAGCTTTGACTCTTTATCAATGAGTCCTTATCTCAGGACAGGGTTTTCCTTGCCTCCCTCTCAAAGTGTCCCAATACAGACCACAATGCTAAAATGTGAAAAGTCCCTTAAAATTATTTCAATAACTGCAATTAACACAATGCTTTCTTCTTGTCGCATAACACAATCTACTCCCTTTTCCATGTCTTGATGAGAAATATAATGTAAGCTATGAGTCTGTAGCCAACAAGCAGAGCCACCAGGAGAAGAATATTCCTTAAAATGTTCTCCTGTAATATAAAAAAGTAAAATGACCATTTTTAAATTTAAAAAGGGAGATTAAACTGTAATGGGTTCAATGATTACTTAACTCCTGGGTAATGTTTTTGAAGAGCTATAGAGCTAAATTTTCTACATAATTTTAGACAAAACTCTCTCTCTCTCTCTCTCTCTGCACTGAAGCTGTAATGGTCCATTACTTAAATATTTTTATATCATCAGATTGGAATTTTTTCTCCATTCATCTTTTTTCTCATCCTCTCTCTGTCCACTTAATTACCTCCTTGAAGCTGTAGTAGTCTATAATGTCTTGCCCTGTTCTAAATGCACAACTTGTACCATTATGACACACTAAAATTAAAAAGTTAGAAATATATTCTAACTTGTTCACCATATCAGCGTGTACAACTTAATTCTTAATAAGCTCACAGCTCAATGAAATGATTCTATATAATATGTCTCTGTTCTATATGAAAACAATGTTCATGGTCTCTAAGAAAACATGATAAAAAGTTACATGCATTTTCAACTTATGTATCAAAATAACTAGAATCAAACAACATTTTGATCCAACATCTACAGATCTTGATCATTCCATGTCTGAAAAACAGTACTTAATTGTAATTTAGCCTTAGGTAATGTCAACTAGTTGCAACACCAACTGTCCACTGTACAGAATATACAAGAGCATATAATTATAATAAGGCGCAGTGGACGACAAGTAGTTGGCTGCTGGGGCTTTGAACAATAAGATATCGCACTGAAATGTATGAAAACACAGGCAATAAATTTAAAGCCTGTATATGAAATACAAGTGCAATTATCCTATTATTTGAAGTGCCAGCCATAATAAAATATTATAACTTACGAATGGTGTCCACATTTCTCCACTGAACAACTGTGATGACCTCATTGGAGTACGGGAACCAGGACATGTAGTTCAGCCAGATAAAGTACACGGGTACACTACTGCAATTCGGTGAAGAGAAAAATGAAGAGAATATTAATTTATTTTTCTAATAGTCTTTTAAATATTTGCTTTTAATTCCCTATGATCAAAATTGAACGAATTAAAATGTCTATAAAAAGTCTCTTTAAGTCTTTTAAGTATATCAAAAACTTAATATACATTTTTAAAAAATTTTTGGAAATAAATTCTGGCTGTGTTTTCCCTCCAAAGAGGGCAGCACTTACTCCTGATTCAAGAAGAACCCACCAAACAACATGAAAGGAATGAGCAGAGGTGGAGCTAATGCCAATGCCACAGTCAGCGAGTTAGCAGCTGTGGAGATAATGTAGCCTAGAAAGAAAATGAATGGATATAAAAAATAAATAAAATATTAACATATGTTTAGTACCTAGGGTCATTTATCCACAAAACAGTAACATGTTCACACAATTTGTTGCCATGGTCAGCTTTTCTATGGTTATTATTATTATAATATATTATTCATACTTCTATTATTTTTAAAAGGTTTTGTAATAATGGACTCATTTTAAACATAGTATCTCACAGTGACATAAAAATGACATCCATTTTTCATGCCCCCCCCCCCCCCCCCCCACCAAACCAATGGCATAAATATAGAGGAAGCGAAACATAGACATAAACAATATTTGTCAAATTATTACCGAAGGACACTGCACAGTTTGCCACCAGGATAAGCACAGCCATGTTGAATAAAAACTCCTCTCCACCGGGATAAAGCCCTACCATCCAGTAGGCTATGGCGGAGAATATCAACGGTGTGATCACATAGCTTGGAAACTATAACAAAATTTGCAAAAATTGTACAAAAATTGTGTTTTTTATGACAAAAATTATTTAAGCAGTTAATTGTTTGAAAGGTAGTAATTTAAGTTGCTTTTAACTTTACTGTAAAATCATGTAATAAGAATATTTTAAGTTTAAAATCCATTTTAAATGTCAAGTAGGCATTACATAAAAACAAGTATGGCAGGTATTTGAGAACACAGTTTCAAAATATGTAAAGATTAAAAAAGTGAAAAGAAGAAATTAATCTATCTGGGCATTAATTAGAAAAGAAATGAATGCTTGCTTGCTTGCTTTGGCAAAACAGCGAGATTGCAATTAAATGAGAAATTGGAAAAAAATTTGTTGAGCTAATGTGGCTGTAGTAAAATTCTCTCCACTACCTCAGCAAAAGTCTTGCATAGAAAATACACATCTGTCCTGTACATGCCATTGTTGTGGTCTCTTTTGAACACTGGAATTTCTAGAGGAAAAGTCTAAAAAAAAAACATCAGTAAGTAAGTAATCGATAAATATTGTTGTGAAGAATCAAACTTATCAATACTATCAGATATTGATAAGTGTTATCAATAACAATTATTCATTAATGTAAAATATCTAAAATAAAAATTTTAATATTTTTGTATGCTCACAATGTCTCCTTGGGCTTTGAAAAAAATTTTAAAAGTATCATTAAGTAATAAAATCGGAATAATAATAATAAATATTAAATTTATATAAACTCATATCAATAAATGTCCTTTACTTTTTAGTTTTTTTATTAAGAAAAGAAATGACTGACAAAAGATGAAACAGCACAAAAAAGTTGAAACTTACATTGATAACAGGGAACATGTTAGCAAATGAATTATTTGTTAACAACAAGAACATCAGACCATTGATGTTTTGAACTGCAGACTGGTCATAATACCCTTCATTCTTATCTGGTTGCCGTAAATATATGAGGCCCAGTAGTACTGCGATGAACTGATAATATAATATAATATAATATAATATAATATAATATAATACAGAATGGGCTTAATTACCAAAAATTAAAGAGCCAAGGAGAACAATTTTCTTTAATTAAAAAATAATAGGGCATGGTACACACAAAAAAAAAAGAAAAAAAATTACTTGCCTCTGCCAAGTTTTTCTGCTTATTTTTTTTTCATGGATTGAGAAGGGTGTCTGCAGTGCCTACCATATCCACATATAAAAGACAGAAATACTAACTTACTATGCTCTGTATTGTTCGGATCCTGTAAGCCATAGGATCTCGTACCATAGTCAGCCAGGAGCGCCAAAATACGGCACGGAATTGTTGAAACCAGTTTGCTTTGTATCTGACAGAGTGAAAAAATTAATCAATTAATTAATTAATTAATTAATCAATAAAATATAACAACAAATGAGTTTCCTTATGATAATGTCTTTGGGAAAATATGATCTGATCAGCAATTGATTTTTAAGTGACATTTATGCTATTATTGTGTAAATTTAAAAAGAAAAAAGACAAAATTTGATGGTGACTCTGTGAAATAGTGCTGCAGATGAATTTACAGCAGTTTGTTTAATAAAGCCAAGACTGACTTCAAATCTGGAAACTCATTTTATCAGAAATGAGTGTTGTTATATCATATGATATTATTCACTTGTAAACATGAACTTTATCTACTTACACAGCTTTTCCAGATATCGCTGCATCAAGCTGAAATCAAATTGAAATAATCTTTTGACTACATGTGTTGTTAGCAATAAGAAACTTTATTGTGCCTGATATGAGTTATGAAAAATAATCCAAATATATGCTTATAGTAAGTTATATATCATATAACAGTGAAGTAAATAAATTATATTAAAGTAGAAATTGATTCTTGAATTATAGTAATTTAATTTTCAGTGAAGAATCCTGACCAAAAGAATAAATTAATAAATATATAACAACTGAATATTTCCAATGACAGTTAAGGACAGTCTAAACCATAGAAAAGTGTTACAGTGTCCTCATCGTAATGCTGAGACTGTTCTTACTATCCATATTTTTAATAAAGTACGGTAAGTCTATTTACGAAAAAGTTATCTCCATTCTCCTGTCCTTGTTCTGCCATGTTGTCTTGAATTGCCTTGGAAAATGGACTGGAATCATAACCATCACAGATTTCCTATGAAAATGGAAGGTGGACTTAAAAAGATTTTGTCATCCTTTTTTTTCCTCACTTCATGCAATACTTAATTATGATTGTAAAATATAGTATATGTTAACTGATGCAAAATATCTTCGATACACTTTTAAGTTACTCTTGTGATTGAAAAAAAGACTGATGAATTTCACTTATGATGGTAAAAATTAAAAATTGACAACTCCAAAACAGATTAATTGATTATTCTGCAACTTTCACACCAGTTTTGATTCAACTAGGTAATAAAGGGAATATTGCTGAAAAATTGCAAAAAAAATTGATACATGTATCTTTCTTTTTTCTTTTCGCAGCTCGTATATAAAACTGCTTTTATGTTTTTATTGACATGCATTAAGGCATACATGTATATAAAAGTCTAACATGCTTTGTATGTATTTAAATTAATGACATTAACCATCCCAGACCAGGACAGACCAATGCCCATACTTACATTAACCCTCTGTTTGCAAGTGTCCACTTGTCCAGGTTTAATGGCCAGTGTATGGATGAAATGGTCAGCTGGGTTGAAATTTGGCGGACAGGTAAAATTCAATCTAAAAATGAAGATATTATGATTCAATTAAATATCAAGTTCAATGAACTGACATACAAAAATACTACACATGACCATCTATAACCATTAACTATGATGGCAACTGTAAAGGCTACAATCAAATAGATAAAATGTATTATTTTTTTCACTACACTGTCTGAGAAATAAATTGATTTAAGGACCTAGTTTTTCAGTTTCAAATACAAGGCTTTTCCCTGAACCAAAACTAAATTAATAAATTATAATCATCATCATCACTATTATTATTATTATTTTAGATTTTAAATAGTGAATGACAAAAAATGAAAAAAAATCTGTGATAAAAAGTTTCTTTCCATGCAAATAATATGCAAGATGTAAGGCAACTAAGCAACTTTTTTTTTTCTAAACTTATGCCCAGTCTCACCTCACCCACTTCACAGTGATTCACAGCAAAACCGAGAACTGCAAGGTGTTTATCATATTTTTTTTCATATTTACTTACTCTTGAAAAAACTTAAAGGCCCCAGCTGTTGGTCCCATGTATGCAACACGCCCCTCTGCTAACAGTAGAAGCCTGTAACAGAGAAAATGTTGAAGAGCAAAAAAGACCCTTGGCTTGGTAGTTGGATCATAAATGAAAATTATCAAACACACGCTGAAATATTTTCATACCGTTAGCTTATGGCCATCAGACTGATAAAGGCCTTCGCCCAGGTTGGCCATAAGCTAATGGGATGAAAGTATTCCGGCTTGTGTTTGATGCTTTTTCATTAAAGACAGAATGTTGTTGAAGTTCAATGTTTTTTCATGATATATTAAAATCACAAAATGGTTATCATAAAACTGACTCAAATTTATTTATTTATTTATTTTTTTTCTTTATTTACACAGCAAAACTAACCCCATTTGCCTTCATAAAAAACTTACTGATCAAACATGGCAAAGACCTGTGAAGAAGGCTGATGAATGGTACAAAGAATTGTCTTCCCCTTGCGCGCCATGGTTTTCAGGGTGTGTACAATACTCTCTGCCATGAAAGAATCCAGGCCTGATGTCGGCTCATCACAAAACATCAGTGGAGGGTCAGTCAGTGCCTGAAATGGTTTTCATTTTTAATTTTTTTAAAAACAAAGGCATTTTTTAGACCGAGTTGTGTACTTAAGCAATAACATTCATATCTGCTGTGAAAAGATCCTTGCCTGAAGATCATTGCCTGAAGATCCAAAGAAAACCTTACCTACTATACAGATCTGATACCTAGCAATATCTGCCAAATACTGACCTGTGGTAATTACTTCATCTTTTTAATAGGCAAAAATTATCAAAGTTTCACAAAAATTATATTTCTAAATACAATGTAGCATTTGTGGTGCTTTTACTGCTTACAAGTAGAATAGAACTATAGATTAGACTGTTTATCAATTTTGTTGCTACCACTCAATAGGCATGTTCTCATTATAATAAATTTTGACTTGAAAAATACAATATTGGTAAAATACACAATTTTCCCCAATTGAAAATATAAATAAATTAAAGAATTGAAATTAAAATTGCCCTCACCTCAGAGGCAAATGACAACCTTTTCATTTCTCCACCAGAGATCCCCTTGATTCTTCCAGGAATTCCTATCCTGGTGTCTGCACACTTGGACAGTCCAGTCTGACAAATAAAGAAATCAATGAATAAACAATGGCAAATGTGATCAATAAAATTTTAGCACACAATTATTGTGTAATGATCAAGTACCATTAATTGTTGTATGCAATGACCTAAACTTGGTCTAATAATTTTTTTAAAGAATGAAATCAAACCATACGATACAATACAATGCAATGCAATGCAATGCAATGCAATGCAATGCAATACAAAATTAAATAAAACTATACAAAATGAAATAAAGTAAAATATTTCATTACCTCCTCAATCACTTCTTCCACCCTGTCCATTCTCTCCTCAAAGGGCACTTCCCTGTCCATCCTCAACTGAGCCTGGAATGTTCATGACAGAATTAAATCGAAATAATATTCTCATTATATATGTATACATTCTTTTAAAGAAACATTGTTCTGTGAAAATTTTAAAAATTTGCATTACACAGAAATATTGATTATTTTGCAACACAAGGTTACTTACATTGTACATACCCATGTACATATGTCTTATGGTAGCTTTGTTATAAGTTTAGATAATTTATTAACTTTAAAATAAAAATAATATTTTGGTGGTATAAAACAATTTGTATAATTACTTGGAACTGCAAGTGTTCCCTGACTGTGAGAACCCCAATAAACAAATCCTCCTGTTGAACATACACAGAAACATTTGTTATGCCTGGTCCAATGACCTTGCCATTGACCTTGACTGTCCCATCTACCACTAGGTTTCCACGGTTACGGTATGTCAACACATTCATTAGGGTGGACTTTCCTGCTCCACTGTAGGTGAAATAAATAAATAAATAAGTAAGTAAATAAGTGCTAAAGACAGAATAGTAACAGGAGTATAGGTTTTAATATTTTTTTTACTTTATAAAAAAAAGTATAATGTTAAACTGCTTTATCTGACAAAGTTCCCAAATTCAGATAGGCCTACATCTTTCTCATCTATCACACACCTTTCTCAAGACTCCTGTTTATTTTTTATTTTTAATCTTTTTATTTTGAAAGGACAGTGCATGAATATATGTAAAGATTGAAATAAATTCAACATGCTGACACTGAAAATATCTGAAGGCATACAATTATTAGATTATTAGATCTTTATACAAAAGATCCTGGGAATTACTTCAACAATTCCCCCTTATAAAGTAATTTTATCAATGGATTTAAAAACGGGACTAGTACATCTGAGAGAGTAACTGATTAAAGGAAAGAAGTTGAAATTCCTAGAAAAGTTAGTATTTTGCTTTATAAAGGTTTCATGTTCAGTGTATGCTTTTTACAAACCTAGCTCCAATAACTGCTAATAGGGAACCTGGTTTCACACATCCATTCACTGAAACATGAAAACAAAGTAATCTTTAATAATAATAAAAAAACAATAATACTTCTATCATTATTTTTTTATACTATCAAACTTTGTCAAAATCTCAATGACACAATGCCACAGTTGCCAGCCTTAAAAAAAATTCAAATGATGCACATAATGATACAACATTTATGGAAAAAAGTTACACTTACTGTATTACAACTATGTGGATGGAGACAGCCTTGTAAGCTTGAAAAATTATCTTTCTTGTATAAAATATCAGGCCCGTAGCCAGCAATTTCAAAAGGGGGGTTCTTTTTTTTTTGAAAAAGTGGACCTTTTCCCGTAAAAACCTCATGTACATAGATCAAATTTTACCCAGAGTGGACCTTTTCCTAGCAAAAGGGGTGGTTCTTTCGAACCCCCCGAACCCCNAAAGGAAAGAAGTTGAAAGTCCTAGAAAAGTTAGTATTTTGCTTTATAAAGATTTTATGCTCAGTGTATGCTTTTTACAAACCTAGCTCCAATAACTGCTAATAGGGAACCTGGTTTCACACATCCATTCACTGAAACATGAAAAAAAAGTAATCTTTAATAATAAAAAAACAATAATATTTCTATCATTATTTTTTTATATTATCAAACTTTGTCCAAATCTCAATGACACAATGCCCCAGTTGCCAGCCTTCAAAACTACAAAAAATAACAATAAAAATTCAAATGATGCACATAATGACACAAAATTTATGGGAAAAAAGTTACACTTACTGTATTACTACTATGTGGATGGAGACAGCCTCGTAAGCTTGAAAAATTATCTTTCTTGTATAGAATATATACTAGATATCCTTACCATCCCTCAATATGTGTTTAGCCGTGGCCCCAGGGGGTGGACCCCGACAACAGGGTCTACTCTTTGGAGGAATGTAAACATTAACATTGTGCCAAGTCAGTGTTATTTCTTCTGAATTCCCCGTCATACTCAGGGTACGTTTGATGGCACTGCTGTAGTTACCTGATGGTGGGATTGATCTCAATTATTCCATTACAAACTTTCATTTCATTTTTTTAAATTAAAATCTCCTAGATTGAGAATGTAATTGTCAATATTTTAGCATGCATAACAGCCAAATGATCCCATGCCTTCTTAAGGTTTCCTTTTTTACTATTTTTTTTTACTTCATTTTACCAAGGGAAAAATATTCTCTTTGGTTTTAATTTCCAAAAAATCATTAGCACCTGATCAAAATATCTAAATTTTCATACTTACGGCTGAATTCTTATTTTTTCCATTAAAAAACATTAACAAAAAAAAAAAAAAAAAAAAAAATCTACCCAAAAATCAACTCAGATTATTTTTTAAATCACCTAGATTATTTTTAAATCGGAAGTAATGGGATTATGCAAAACATCAGAACAGCCCTCACCTACAGAAGAGTTCCGTGATGACGGTCGCTCTGTCGGCATGCTGCCGTAACCATTGAAGGTGATGGTGTGTGTGTCGCCATTTTGATGATGATGCAGCAAGGATTGCTTGGGGTCTGTATCTTCCTCCATCATTGTTGCAGATTATATGTTTTGGCTACTTTACTATTTATACAAATGAAAATAAATCATTAAATCAATTGTAATAGAAATACCCGGTATATTGGTAGACGTATAAGTTGACATGTCATTTCTACAACAAGAGTCCAATTTTAATTCTTCTTAAAAGAAGAAACACAGAGTTGGAATGCTTTGCAGAAAATTGGTCAATGTTTGAAGTATTTTAATATTCAAAAACTGTAAGGAAAGATGTGTAAGCTAAATGCACCTGGTCTGTTAAAGAATCGTGACATAACACATTGCCTATAAAGAGCACTGAAAAAAAGGCCACTGAAAAAAAATTAATGAAATTATAATACTTTTCTTCCATATCCTATACCCAGGTTGTATATCAGTGGCGGATTTAGAGGGGGGAGTCAGGGGGTCCTGCCCCCCCTTCGATTTCTAAAAAAAAATCACACCAATGGTTCCCTCTTAAAATTGGAATTTTGACTAGCTGAATCATATTTCTTAACCAGGGGCGTCTATTTGAAGGGGGGTCTGCGGATGCGAAGCCGACTCCCCCCTGACCCCCCTTCTAAATCCGCCACTGCTTCGGACTATCGAGACGCCCTCTAACTAGAAATGCTGTACTGGAAATAAAAACCAACACATTTCTTTTTTCNCCCCCCCCCCCCCTCTACTTGACTTGGGGTTTCGGCCCCCGCTGAAGGGCTGGTATCTTAGAGGGTGAACGGTGCCATTTGGTACGACCAGAAATCGAAGGGAGGGGTCAGGACACCTTAACCCCACCCCCTTTAAATCCACCACTGTAAACTTAACCAAATGGCACCGCTTGTCCTCTAAAATACCAAAAATTTTCGGGCCCGCTAAAGGGCCCCGGGCCTCACGCCAAGGAGGAGGGAGAGTCGGTTTCGCATCCGCGGACCCCCCCCCCTCCCCACCTGGAGCCGCCACTGTATATTTCTATAATATTCTGGAATAAGGAACAGGAATGAAAACCCACTTGTTTTACCACACTTGAGTCTTTATGTTGCAGGGGAGAAAAAATTAAAACAGAAGTGACCGAGGGGATTTATCTCAGAAGCTAACGGGGGGACAGGGGGAGACATCCCAAACGGAACAATATAGGCCCTACTAGTTCCTGACTGTCCAAGGAATATCTTGAAAATTAAAAAAAATAAGAACGAAAAACTTACCTTTTTAAGTAATATTACTCTTTTGAAAAACTCGATGGGCACTGAGGACACTAGAACTTATCATAGAAACAGCAAAGTGTAATATGTAAACGACTGGGGCTTACATTTTACACTGGTAACAAGCAGGAACAAAGGTTCATAATTTTATAACCTTCCTATCAGATTTAAGATAACACTCAAAGATACAGGCATGACTTCCCTATATTTACGTGTACTGAACTGCAGGGTAAGGTGCATAGGCAGCAGATTTTATGTGTGTGTGTGTGCGTGCGTGTGTGTGTGTGTGTGTGTGTGTGTGTGTGTGAGGGTGTGTTGGGGGGGGGGCAGGAGATGAAGTGTACGGTAACCATTAGAAAAAATAGTAACAGGGGGCAGGAATTATTTTTCTGTGCTTACAACTAATGAGGTTGAAAAAAGTTGGCACGGGTGCCCGTAGCTACCACCGTCAAGAGCCACATACCTAGCATCGACCTAGTCCTATGTACTCCCACCTTTATCATTTAATGATACTATCTGGATGATCAGTAAATTAAGGTTAGTGTTCCCTTTTCTTTCGGGGGCGTCTCGATAATCCGAATTAAGGTTCACTAGCCCAAGGTTCATTTGTCCTAAAAATCATAATCGCGCTCCTCTGATGAATTTATAATTATTTGCCAGTACACTATACACTTATTTGATGCATTTATTAGGACTATATCGAACCTCTTTCTATGACCTTTTCATTTACACATTCCTATCCCCTGTACAATAGACCATGTATCTTTTAAGTGATATACACGTCATACAAGATATATATATTCCTCTACCAGGACAACAGGCCGATTTTTTATTATATTCACAGATATGGCTCTGACTTCTTTGCACTTTTCTCTTCTGCACAGAACTGACAATTTTACTAAGGGCGCATTCAGATTCTCATATCGCACTAGCTGGGTCGGTCCAACTCTGCGGGGATTCTCGCTAAAGTGAAATCAGTGAAATCGGCAATATCAACATACAATATTTAAAATTACCCCCTTGCTCGAGGAGATGTGAGACAGTTAAGCTGTTTCCACTGATCGTAGAATAGCGAGAATCCCCCGCGGAGTTGGAGCTACCCAACTAGTGCAAATCTGAATAGAACACATCCCCCCCCCCCCCCCGCCTTTTCAATGGAAAAGTTTCCCATGTCCTACTTACTGACCTGTGCATCAATATCATCAAGTTCAGGTTCCTTAGCTCTCACCCGTTGATGGACTTTGAGTGCGACTATAATGCCCGCATATGAAGGCACATATACTACTTATGCACCGTGATAGCGAGTTGAACTCGTCACCAAGTGGTTTTATGCGTTAAACATTAACCTAAATACAGGCAGTGGTTTAAACACAGACGGCAAACAATTTGGGGCAATGTGCATTGTTATGCTAAGGCAATATTGACATGACCTGCAATACAAAAGACTTGTCTGTATAATGTTTGGGAAAAAATTTCTAGAAAAATGTCTCGTTATATTTGCACTCTTCACAGGTTATTTTTAGAAGGACCGGTACCATTTATTTATTTATTTATTCATTTATTTACTTATTTTTGTATTATCAGATTTAGATGTAAAATGTACCATACCAAACTCTTGGCAAATCAGACCCTCTGTTTTATGTTTGTTGCAAAAAAAAAAAAAAAAAACATTATTAATTATTAATTAATTGATGACGTAGAACTTCGTCTCAAAGAGAACATATCACCGGAGAGATTTGTACATGGATCCCCTAAAAAAGCGAGGTTTTCTCTCAACTAAACTACTCCCAGGGAAATTAAGATATATTTGTGCTTATTTTAGTTATACGGTTATGCTGTAGTCCAGTATTAATCTAATGTAACCTACCGTCAGCCTGTAGGCTATTTATTCTAGCTTCTGCACATTGAAGGTAAAATATTTAAACGTTAAGTCAACCTCACTAATTCCGTGTCCAAAGATAATGGCACTTCAGTGTAAACTCACGAGCCGCGTGCAATTAGCTGACATAAATATCCATTGAGTGTGAATATTCCTCAGCCGATGCTCTGTTAAAAGCATAGGATTTATAAATATACTTAAGTTTGAATTCCTACAAAAAGAATAAATAACATTGGAAATCGACAAAAATCAAATTCTGAAAAAAAATCAAAAGATCAAAAATATGAAGATGTTGTTTTCTTATTTCATTGATTGTTCTCTGTTGTCAAGACTTTGTGAGTGCGTGTGACTTTGTATACAACATTGGCCAAGAAGGTTGTCCCACCCCCATTTCCATGTACTTTTATTTACAAATGAAACATACGTTACCGATACATACTTTTCCATGAAACGTGTAAACTTGGACCTAAACCTATTTAGGTCCAAGGTGTAAATGATTATTCTATTTTCATCGGTTTTCTTTCGCTTTGTGGGCCATCACTTATGTCTTTATTTGTGTTTCATTAAAAAAGTATTGGAGCACAAAAGGAAAGACAGCCAGTAAAAATAGAATTAAAAACATTTACACGCTTTATGGTAACGTTTGTATCATTTTAACGTAACAAAGTAGAATGAGCGACGTAATGACATGCGTGCGCACATATACAACGTCGCACGCAACCACAGACTCACGACAACAGAGAACAAACAATGAAATCAGAAAACAATACCTTCACATTATTTGGTAACGTATGTATCGGTGACGTATGTATCATATAAACGATTTGAACAAACGATTTCAAGTCAAGTAATTTTTACTTGCCCTGCTTTTCCTTCTTATTGTAATGTAGTATGCCGTAAGAATAAGGCGTTTGCTCATAAAACGGACAGCAAACAATAAAAATAAAAGTATGTACACGCTCCATGGTAACTATTTTTATTGGTTGTCTTTCGTTTAATGCATCTTCACTTATGTCTTACTGATACATTACAATAAAAGACATCGATAAAATTTAGATTTCTTGCTTTCAACTATCGGTGAAAATTGTTCATATGATACATAAGTTACTGATACATACGTGAATAAAAATTTGAAGATGTTATTTTCTTATTTCATTGATTGTTCTGTTTCCATGACTTTGTGAGTGCGTGTGACTTTGTATATGTGAGCACGCATGCTTTTACGGCGCTCTTTCTTCTTTCTTACGTTAATTTGAGACATACGTTACCGATATATACGTTAACACGAAGCGTGTAAATATTTATTTATTCTGTTATCATTGGTTGTATTTCGTTTTGTGGGCCAACACGTATGCCTTAATGTGACATTAAAATGAAAGAAAACGGGACAAAAAATATTTCTAACCTTCAACTGTCTGTGAAAATGATTCATCTGATTCATACGTTACCGATATGTTCGTAACCAAATAATATGAAGGTATTGTTTTTTGATTTCATTGCTTGTTCTCTCTTGTCGCGACTCTGTGGTTGCGTGCGACGTTGTATATGTGCGCACGCTTGTTATTACGTCGCTCATTCTTCTTTGTTACGTTAAAATGATACATACGTTACCAATACATACTTTTCCATGAAACGTGTAACTAATTATTCTATTTTCATTAGATTTCTTTCGCTTTGTGGGCCAATACTAATTTCATTTATTTGTGTTTCATTAAAATAATGTTGACGCACAAAAGGAAAGACAACCAATGAAAATAGAATAAAAAACATTTACACGCTTTATGGTAACGTATGTATCATTTTCACGTAACAAAGAACAATGAGCGACGTAATAACCTGCGTGCGCACATATACAACGTCGCACGCAACCACAGAGTCGCGACAACAGAGAACAAACAATGAAATCATAAAACAATACCTTCACATTATTCTCTAACGTATGTATTATATAAACAATTTGAACAAACGGTTTCAAGTCAAGTAATCTTTACTTGCCCTGCTTTTCATTCTTATTGTAATGTAGTATGCCGTAAGAATAAGGCGTTTGCTCATAAAACGGACGACAAACAATAAAAATAAAAGTATTTACACGCTCCATGGTAACTATTTTCATTGGATGTCGTTCGTTTTGTGCTCCATCACCTATTAAGTCTTAATGTTACATTACAATAAATGAAAAACTAGAAAAATCAGATTTCTTGCCTTCAACTATCTGTGAAAATTGTTCATATGATACTTAAGTTACTGATACATACGTGAACAAAAATATGAAGATGTTATTTTCTTATTTCATTGATTGTTCTCTGTTTCCATGACTTTGTGAGTGCGTGTGACTTTGTATATCTGAGCACGCATGCTTTTACGGCGCTCTTTCTTCTTTCTTACGTTAATTTGAGACATACGTTACCGATATATACGTTACTACGAAGCGTGTAAATATTTATTTATTCTATTTTCATTGGTTGTCTTTCGTTTTGTGGGCCAACACTTATGCCTTAATGTCAGGGACGGATTTAGGCCGTCTTCTGAGTCTTCCGGAAGACGGTCAGATTTTCCAGTTTACATTGAGGGGTATTTTTTTTTTTTTTTTCAGTCGGAAGACGGTCAAAACTGGAAGATGGATCGACAAAGATAATCCGGAAGACTGTCAGAAAATATTTCTGGATCCGCCCCTGAATGTGACATTAAAATGAAAGAAAACGAAACAAAAATATTTCTTACCTTCAACTTATTGTGAAAATTATTCGTTTGATTCATACGTTACCGATATGTTCGTAACCAAATAATATGAAGGTGTTGTTTTTTTGATTTCATTGTTTGTTCTCTCTTGTCGCGACTCTGTGGTTGCGTGCGACGTTGTATATGTGCGCACGCTTGTTATTACGTCGCTCATTCTTCTTTGTTACGTTAAAATGATACATACGTTACCAATACATACTTTTCCATGAAACGTGTAAATAATTATTCTATTTTCATTGGTTTTCTTTCGCTTTGTGGGCCAACACTTATGTCTTTTATTTGTGTTTCATTAAAATAATGTTGACACACAAAAGGAAAGACAACCAATGAAAATAGAATAAAAAACATTTACACGCTTTATGGTAACGTATGTATCATTTTCACGTAACAAAGAAGAATGAGCGACGTAATAACCTGCGTGCGCACATATATAACGTCGCACGTAACCACAGAGTCGCGACAACAGAGAACAAACAATGAAATCAGAAAACAATACCTTCACATTATTCTCTAACATATGTATTATATAAACAATTTGAACAAACGGTTTCAAGTCAAGTAATCTTTACTTGCCCTGCTTTTCCTTCTTATTTTAATGTAGTATGTCGTAAGAATAAGGCGTTTGCTCATAAAACGGACAACAAACAATAAAAATAAAAGTATTTACACGCTCCATGGTAACTAATTTTATTGGTTGTCTTTCGTTTAGTGCGCCTTCACTTATGTCTTAATGTTACATTACAATAAAAGAAATCGATAAAATTTAGATTTCTTGCCTTCAACTATCGGTGAAAATTGTCCATATGATACATAAGTTACTGATACAAACGTGAACAAAATATGAAGATGTTATTTTCTTATTTCATTGATTGTTCTCTGTTTCCATGACTTTGTGAGTGCGTGTGACTTTGTATATCTGAGCACGCATGCTTTTACGGCGCTCTTTCTTCTTTCTTACGTTTATTTGAGACATACGTTACCGATATATACGTTACTACGAAGCATGTAAATATTTATTTATTCTATTTTCATTGGTTGTCTTTCGTTTTGTGGGCCAACACTTATGCCTTAATGTGACATTAAAATGAAAAAAAAACGAGACAAAAATATTTCTTACCTTCAACTATCTGTGAAAATTTTTCATTTGATTCATACGTTACCGATATGTTCGTAACCAAATAATATGAAGGTGTTGTTTTTTGATTTCATTGTTTGTTCTCTCTTGTCGCGACTCTGTGGTTGCGTGCGACGTTGTATGTGTGCGCACGCTTGTTATTACGTCACTCATTCTTCTTTGTTACGTTAAAATGATACATACGTTACCAATACATACTTTTCCATGCAACGTGTAAATAATTATTCTATTTTCATTGGATTTCTTTCGCTTTGTGGGCCAACACTAATGTCATTTATTTGTGTTTCATTAAAATAATGTTGAAGCACAAAATGAAAGACAACCACTGGAAACATTTACACGCTTTATGGTAACGTATCAGAATTTGAAATTAAGAGCGGGCTACTATGTATATGTACATTGAACCAAGCAATAAAAATATGGTAAACTCAGCTAGGTGTGTATTAAACATTCCGTGACGCTATGAAATAAAAAATATGTATTATAGTATTGATTTTGTTTGCTTAAATCGTCCTATGGCGCCGAATACTTGATAGCACAATTCCCGTCATCTCA